CGCCCCGCCCCCCGGCGCGCACGGCCGGGCCCAAACTGAATCACCGCGTCTGCGCGCTGCCTGTCCGCGGAGCCGCGGGGAAAAGCGCGCGCCGTAATTACGCGAAAAGAAGCGCAGAGGCGGCTGTGCGACTGTCCTCTCCAGGCCCGCGCGCCTGCTTGTCCTTGGCCTGGCTCCCACAGCGATCCCCGCTGCCGTGTTCTGAAGGAATGTTTGTAACCCTTAATTAGAACTGAGCTTAGATGTGCAAAAGCGTTACAAGAACATACTAGAGAGGCCTCATACACCTTTCGCTCAGCTGCCACTGTAATCATCTCACAAAATCATGTTCAATTAACAACCAAAAAACTAGCGTCACTGTTGTCTAATCTATAGACCTGATTTCAATCTTGCCAGTTTTCTCGCTAATGTCCTTTTTTGCCCGTCCAGGATCTCACTTTTTATTTATAGTTGTGATGTCTCCGCAATAATTTTTTTTTCTTTTAAAACCTTGGGACTTTTAAAGTGTTTTGGTCTGTTATGTTGTAGAATGTCTCTCAGTTTGGGTTTATCTGATTTCTCATGATTATATCAACCATAGGTATTTTTTGGCAGGAAGGCCACAGAAGAAATGTGGCCTTCTTACTAATACATGACGGCGAATTATCTTGTTAATGGCGATTTTTACCTTGATTACTTGGAGGTGGTGTTTGCCAGGTTTCTCCTCTGTAAACTGCTGTTTTTCTCTCTGTAAGCCATAGATATCTTGTGGGCCGTTAAATCTACATTTATTCATTGGAATTCTACTGTAAGATAAAGCTGCCTCATCTCCCTCATTTATTTACTTATTTAATTATTTGTATCTGTTAATATGGACCCATGAATATATTTTTAACGGTTACAACCCAATCATATCCTGTATTTCATTGCTTGAATTATCTCAGATTTGGCTTCTTCATGCTGAGCTTTGACTCAGATTTGACTGTAGGTGGCAAAGGGGGAAATTCCCCCAAATCTGAAGTCCAGCCATGCTCCTAGGGCCAGAGAGGGTAACATAAAGCAGGTCCTACCCTCAAGTGCTGCTTGGCCAGGGGGACAGCCCCATGGATGGTGAGTCTGACACAGGGCAGATGGAACTGTATGTCTCTGTGTGTGCAACAGACAAAGGAGAGGACGTGGCAGGTGTATCAGATGCTGTGGGAGACGCACCCGCCTAAAGCTCTTTCTCTGACGTCATCCCACTTTCTGTTATTCATTCCTGAAACAGATCTCTTCTGAATACCTACTAGGTAGGTATTTTAGATGCTGGGGAATACGTCAATGAACAGGACAGACAAGGTTCCTGCTTTTCTGGAGCTGACATTCTAGTGGCGGGAACAATAAGGAAGAAAAGTAATTGTGGACAGCGAAAGTCCTTCAGATAGATGGCCAGGGACGGCCTTGCACTTGAACTGAGCTTGGTACTATGAGGAGGCAGCAATGCAAAGGTCAGGGGTGGGAGCAGGAAGAGCACTATTCCAGGCAGAAGAAGCGACAGTTGCAAAACAGTGTGGCTGGAATGTATTTAGGATGTCTGAGGAACCTGCCCCTGGAATGTGCTTACCAAGGAGATAAGAGATTCAGTGGAGTCAGACTATAGAGGGTAGGAGGCCCTGGGAAGGAGTTGGGGTCACTCTTAGACTGACACAAGGCACTGGAGGCTTCAAGCTACAGG